AACACAGCAGGAGACTGTGGGACTTTTGGGAAACTTTTAAGTTAAATATAAATATAGTAGAGAACATAATGTAAGATGTCCAGGTCAATGAATTTTTTCAAAGTGATCACACTTAGGTAACTACCACTCAGAGAAGCATAGAACATTACCAGCATCCCCTAAAGTCCCTCTGATGCCTTCTTTCAGTCATTTCACCTCCCTAAAGGTAGCTATCATTGTTTTTCTGGTTTGTTGTTGTTGTTGTTGTTTTGAGACAGGGTCTCACTCTGTGACTCAGGCTGAGTGCAGTGGTGATCACAGCTCACTGCAGCCTCGACCTCTCAGGCTCAAGTGATCCTCCTGCTTCAGTCTCCTGACTAGCTGGGACCACAGACACGAGCCACCATGCCTGGCTAATTTTTAATTTCTTGTAGAGATGAGGGTCTCACTATGTTGTCCAGGCTGGTCTCGAACTCCTGTATGCAAGTGATCCTTCCACCATGGCCTCCTAGTGCTGGGATTACAGGTGTGAGCCACTGTGCCTGGCTGGCAACTATTACTCTGACTTTTGTCTCCATGGATTGGTTTTGCCTACTTTCGCACTTCATCTTAATGGAACCATAGCATATGTACTCCTTTGTGTTTGGCTTATGTCACTCAATATTATGTCTGCGAGATATATCCAGAGTGGTTTATTCCTCTACAGTATTTTAATGTATGAGTATGTTGCAATTTATGTATCCTCTCTACCCTGATGAACATTTTGGTTGTCCATAGTTTTTATTTATTACAAACAGTGTCACTTTGATCAGTCTTGCAGGCATCTCTTAGCGTACATGTGTACAAACATATGTGCATGTTGCTGTTGGGTATATACCTGGAAGTGGGGTACCTAGACTCAGCATTAGCAGTACTGTCCGACAGCTTTCCAAAGTCATTGTGCCAATTTCCACTCTAGGCAGCTGTGTAGGAGAGTGCCAGTTACCCTGTGTCCTCCCCAACACTTGGTATTGTCAGGTTTTGTTTTGTTTATTTATTTTTTTTCTTTTTTCGAGACAGAGTCTGTGTTGCCCAGGCTGGAGAGAAATAGCAAAATCTTGGCTCACTGCAACCTCTGCCTCCTGGGTTCAAGCGATTCTCCTGCCTCAGCTTCCCGAGTAGCTGGGATTACAGGCACCCACCACCATACCCCGCTAATTTTTGTATTTCTAGTAGAGATGGGGTTTCACCATATTGGCCAGGCTGGTCTCAAACCCTTGACCTCAGGTGATCTGCCTGCCTCAGCCTCCCTAAGTGCTGGGATTACAGGAATGAGCCACCATGCCAGGCTTTGTTCTGGTTTTGGCCTGCTCTGGTGAGTATTCAGTACCATTTCATTGTGGGTTTTGTTTTTTTTTTTTAGACAAGATCTTGCTCTTTCACCAAGGCTGGAGTGCAGTGGTAAGATCTCGGCTCACTGCAACCCTGCCTCCCGGGTTCAAGCCATTCTTGTGCTTCAGCCTCCCAAGTAGTTGGGATTACAGGTGCACACCACCACACCCAGCTAATTTTTGTATTTTTTGTAGAGACGGGGTTTTGCCATGTTGGCCAGGCTGGTCGTTGTGGTTTTGATTTGTGTTTCCCTGATGATGAATGGCGTTGAGCACTTTTTCATGTGCCCACTGGCCATTTGGATATCCTCTTTAGACTGCTCTAATTTTGCCCATTAAAAAAAATTAGGTTGTCTTTTTCTTTTTCTTTTTTTGAGATGGAGTTTCACTCTTGTTGCTCAGGCTGGAGTGCAATGGTGCGATCTTCACTCGCTGCAACCTACACCTCCCAGGTTCAAGTGATTCTCCTGCCTCAGCCTCCTGAGTAGCTGGGATTACAGGTGCGAGCCACCGTGCCCGGCTAATTTTTGGGTTTTTGCTAGAGACAGGGTTTCGCCATGTTGGCCAGGCTGGTCTCAAACTCCTGACCTCAGGTGATCCACCTGCCTCGACCTCCCAGAGTGCTGGGATTATAGGTATAAATCACGGTGCCTGGCTGGTTGTCTTTTTCTTGTTGATTTATAGGAGTTTTGTATATGTTTTGGATATGAGTCTTTTGTTGGTTATATCTATCCCAAACATCTTCTCCCACACTGTGGCTTGCCTTTTTACTCTCTTAATAGTAGCTTTTGAATAGAAGTCCTTTTTTATTGTTTATTTTTTCTTATTTTCTTTCTTTATAAAATTTTTTTTCTTTCTTTTTTGTTTTTGAGATAGGATCTCACTCCCAAGGTGTTGGGATTACAGGCGTGAGCCACGGGGCCCGGCCATCTGGCTAATTTTTAATTTATCTGTAGAGAGGGCGGTCTCCCTATGTTGCCCAGGATGGTCTCGAACTCCTGGGCTCAACTGATCCTCCTACCTTGGCCTCCTAAAGTGCTAGTATTACAGGTGTGAGCCACTGCACCTGGCCTGAACAGAGTTCCTAATTTTGATGAAGTCTGACTTATCAATCTTTTTTTTTTTTT